CCGCTAACAAAAAGGATTTTTACACACGAAAATGTGTAAACGACAAAAAATACATATTCATCGTGTAAATTTACCAAAACATTTTAAAAATTAACAAAAATATACTCAATTTATAGTCGCACTTTTAAACAGACTTTTTTAGAGTAGCGTGGCGACGAATAGCTGTTGCCCAGGTTTTTTTTTTTGAGAAATAAAAGGGTCATTTATAGCTTTTGCGAAAAAAGTATTTTATTGTAAATTCTCCACAGATTTTACTTTAGTTGTATCAATTAGTTTTTAAATATTAAGCCTTAATAACATTTGCCAGCAGTGTAAACTTTGAGAGAAAAGTTCATTTGGCACGCCAGTGTTTTTCAGGACTATTTTTTTAGGCATTGTATAAAAAATGACAAAAAAAGAAAAACTGTATAGGCTGTTCGAATGAATGGCCGTCCTAGTCACCAGTTCCGAGTGTATTCGATTTTTGTGTATGAGGCCTTATGCTAAACAGAAGAGGGAGTATAAGGGACTCAATATGAAGAAAATTAGCATATGGTTACAGAAGATATAGAATAAATTAATTGAAAAAGACCTGCGTGCCAAATGACCTTTACTTTCAAAATTTACACTGCTGGCAAATTTTTTTATTATTATTATTTATTTATTACAGCTCTCTTGAAGCTAATTCATTACAATATATGTAGACTTAACCTAGTTATTTAATATTACATTGCTTAAGCCTAATGAAATCATTTGGAAGGGCATTCATACATGGCAATTACAAGTTGAAATTACGGAACAATAATAAACGGAAAACAGATATAAAGTAATACATTACATTATATTGGGATAGATTTACAAAATTAAAGCAACTTTCTTTTAAACTCATTGATGTTTTTACATTGCTTGACAGTATTTGGTAATTCATTATAACTTTTAAGACCCTTGTAATAAAGATTACATATATCAGATTCGCTTTAAATTGAATTCATTTTTCTTACGTGTATCTTTGTTGTGCACATTGCTGCCATACTTTAAGTTAATCTTTAGGTATTCTGGTAAATTATCTTCAATAATGTTTTTAACAAATTTCATCGTATAATAAAAGTGCTGTTGTTTCACACTTAGCCAACCAAGGGCTGATAACATGTCTCTAATGGGCGTGTCATATCGTTTTCGAAGAATGAATCTCATTGCTTGGTTCTGTTGTTTCTGCAATTTATAAATTTGGCTATCATGCATTATGAAGAAAATTGGACAATAATTGAGGAGAGGTTTTATTATTGATCCGTATACCATTATTTTATATTTCCTTTTCAGTAATTTGCAAGTACGTCGCATAAAGTACATTATTTTTTTTGCTATTTTGCTTACGGTATAGTCAATATGATCATTGAACTGTAGCTTCTCATCAATTTTTATACCCAAGTACGTAAAGCTCCGCACCCTTTCTATTTTTTGTTGGTTTATGTTTAAACTACGAAGTTCATGCATATCAATATTTCTTCTGGATATGACCATGTATTTGGTTTTACTTACATTTATTTTAAGTTTGTTTAAACATAGCCAATTATATATTTTATTTAAGTCATCTGGTAGTTTTGAAACAATATCAGTAATATGGTCACCACTTAACATGATTAACGTGTCATCAGCGAAAAGATTAATATCACAATATTTAATACCGTTGGCAATATCATTTATGTATATATTAAATAATATAGGTGCTAGCACTGAGCCTTGAGGTAGACCAACCACTATACTTCTTTTGTCAGATACCGACGATCCAATCTGTGTTCTCTGGTAACGATTTGTAATAAGACTTTGAAACCATTTTAGCTCAACGCCCCGTATCCCTATATTACTCAATTTATTTAGAAGTAACTCTTGATCGATGGTCTCAAATGCGCGCTTTAAGTCTAAGAAGACGGCAACTATGTATTTATTTCTGCTCAATTCTTCTTTCCAGCGAGCTAATACTAAGTTTAGTGCAGTTTCACACGAGTGCCTTTTCCTAAAACCAGACTGTTGTGGCATTAATATTTTATTAGTTTCTAAATATTCTATTAGTTGTTTTTTAACTACCGTTTCAAGAATTTTTTCATCACTAGGCAACGTATTAATTGGTCTCATCTCGTCGGCTCTGATTGTGTTCTTGACTTTCTCAATTGGCACAACAATAGATGTTTTCCAGTGATCAGGAACAACACCATATTTTAGGCTTTCATTAATTAACTGCGTGTAAAAGTACCCTGTATATGTTATAGAGTCTTTTATGACTCCCTCAGATAATAGTTTTTTTCCTCCAATTTTATTTTTAAAACCACTGACAATTTCAAGCACTTCATCGGTTTCGATTTCTATAAATTTAAAGTTATGTGTGCAATTTGGAGTCGTAAAGGATTCTTTTTTACCAGGTTCTATATTTGAGGTAATTTCAATAATGCTGTCAATAAAGTAGTTATTTAGTGATTGTGCAATCTCATTTTCCGTTGTGTACAAGTTGTTGTGAATTAACACTTTATTAATGGCGTTTATTTCCTTTGACATACTTATGCAATTTTTTAGATGCTTCCACATTGATTTGCTATCTCCAATATTAACCGTTATTTTATGCTCCAAGTATTTAACCTTTTTAACCTTTACCATCCTCTTGTATCTACGTTTGATTGTATTATAGTCACTCCAGGCCCCTGTTTCTAATGCTATCCTGTAAAGATTATACTTTTGTTTATTAAGGTTTGCTAATTCAGCATCATACCACTTGTTCATGAGCTTAAGCCTTATTTCTTTAGTGTATGTTAGAGTGCCCATTGAATACGACAAGACATTAGTTAAAAATTTCGATTTATCATCGATGCTTAATTTCGAAAAATCCCTGTAATTGTATTGCCTCAGTTGGTGAAGAAGATTATCACTTGTGTAATTTTCCCAAGATATAATAAATTTGTTTGCTCTCATTTTATATATTTTCTCCAACTCGATCTTGACATAAATTGTCTCATGATCGGAGATCCGATGCATATCCATTCTTTGACACGAAATGTTTTTGCTATTGGTAAATAATAAATCAATCATGGTTTCGACCTCTCCCGATTTCCTAGTATAAAAATTAATTTTCTGAACCATTGAGAAGGACTGAAATAACTCTACCAATCTTTTACTGTACGTTGTAGCTTTATATAGATTTATATTGAAGTCTCCAATAAATACAGTATTATCATCTAGGCAAGTATTGTTTAAAATTTCACTGAGGTAGCTGATAAAGTCAGCATCGCTAGAATTTGGCGAGTGATATATTACCCCTATTTGGTATTTCGGGGTAACATTTCCAATTTTTAAAAGAAGACACCAAATATTTTTATCCCACGAGTAATTAACGAGAGTTTCATATTTAATTGAGTGATGGACGTAAATTAAAACACCGCCTGTGTGTCTACTATTCGAGTTGCATCTAATTAGGGTGTAGGTTTCTACCTGTATTTCGTGGTTTGTAATGTCTTCGGTCAAACAGGTTTCTGAACATAGCACCAAATGGGGCTTACAAATTTCTATTAGTTTCTCAAGTTCACACTTATTAGCTGTAATACTGTTTATGTTTAAATAAATGATATTCAATTCATGAATACTTCGTTGCTAAACTTTAGTTTTGCTTTTGGCTTGAACGTATTTTTGGTATGCAGGGCAATCCAAACTGAATGCTGAGTGATTTACATTAACATCTATTACTTTTTTCTGAACAAGTTCACAACAATTTACACACCTTATTATATCAGAGCCGCAATCCTTAACATCGTGATTTCCAGCACATCTACTACATGCCTTTTTATTTGTACAATCACTTGACTTGTGCTTATAACCCAAACATTTAAAGCATCTCATAATATTTAGATGCTCAAATACCATGCAAGTGTCCCATTCGATATTTACTTTTTTACGTTTCAAGACACTTTCATAGGTTAAAGCATCTGTTTCAACTAGAATGTTGAAGCTTTCTTCTCTTCGCGTTCTATTTTCGTATACTTTCAGTACTTTCAACTCCTTTCCCAAGAACTCATCATTTTGCTTAGTTAGACATTCTATTATGCGATCATTATTTATTTTTTCGGTTAACCCAACTATTTTCCGTATCTTTTTTATTTCATCTTTTCCTTTAGCTTTCTGGGCCTGGAACTCCGTTCCAATACTATCTCTTATTTTTTGATCGACTTTTTCGCAAGTATCTTTATTTTTACGTTCTAAAACTATTCCCACTCTATTAATTTCTTTCACAGTCTTAACAAGA